TGATGGATCCCAACCAACGGGGCCATCCTGAGTGTTGTCCCCACGTAGAACGTTCGAAACCGTCTTCAGGACTCCGTAGCCACAATTACGAGCTACGATTGCTGCGCACTTTTTGCGGACGCATTCGCCTATGTCGCCCGGAGTTTTCCGCAACTCTTCGAGTAGCGTTTCGAAGATGTTGATGCTCTCTGTGAGCGGAGCTCCTGTTGTTTCCAATTTCTCTATCGCTCTTGGGACGCACTCGAAGAATGCTCTGAGGAAAGCGAGGTCCTCCTTCACTGCAGGCCTCTTCAGCAGATCTAGAGCTTCTCTTATGCTCGCGGCATCGTTCGCGTCCAGAGCATGGACAACATTCGAGAACGGAACGAAATGCTCGGCGTAATATTTCGCGGCATTCAGCCACGTCCCCCATCGCGTCAGTATCGGCTGCGGGGGCAACGGGATTCCGGCGGCGATTTCGCGGAACACCGTCACTCTCGCGGCGGACTTAAGGAAAATATTTTTTCCATTGGAAATGAGTTTATCGACATCAGGGAACTTTGATCTGATTTCTTCTGCTATGCGATGCGCAGCGTGCGCTGCGCACGTTAGATGAAGCATTTTCGGAAACAATACTTGCAGGACCGAGCCTGCTCTTCGCATGTAAGCGGCGCCGTCAGTAACGAAAAGCAATACCTTGTCGTGTCTGACGCCGTCCGGCCACAGTAGAGAAAGCGAGTTCATGAAGGCTTGTGAAATTGTCGTGCTGTTCGTCTTTTCGAGACATTCCGCATTCAAGAGGAAGCTCTTGCTCCGTGAATTTTCCAGCGTCCCGACAATTGTGGGAGCGACGAATCGGCCCATGGAATCGGTAGTTTCATCCATCGAAATCCAGATGGGTTCATCGGCACACTTGTCCTGATGGAGTCTACCTTGCTTTCATAGATGCTCTTAAGATAGCCTCTCCGCAGAGTAGCCGAGGATGGAACCGGTTGCTTACAGTAATTCCGCAAAAAACTTCTCAGCTTCTCATTCTCGAGCTTGAAGAGGGGTATTCCAGCGCATACCAGCGCCTCGCAAAGATCGATACTAAACTGAGAGAGCTTCCCTGAAGCTTGCACGAAACTCGTCAGTTGCACCACTTTGCTTGAGTTCAATTCGAGCTTCCTCTGTTCGGCAGACTTATGCTGCAGGCCATTAAGATGTTGAGTCACTTGGAACTTCTTATCGACGCGGATCTCTTTCTCGCAAACTCGGCAGAGGAGAACTACTCCGTCCGTAGAAATTATGTCACTTCCGAAGTCTTTGACGTAAGACTCAAGCTTCGTGTGTCGCGACGCTCTGACTTTAGGCATCTTGAGCTCTATACCGTGAGCGCACACTTCTTTTCCTTCTCAGCCTGCCTCACGAACACGAAGGAAACCTGCTGACCACGCGAAAGGTCAGCTGACTGCGAGCATCGAACGCGCACGTCGCACGCGGACCACGCTATCAAACCGCGTGTACTCTCCATGTCGCCTCATTCATGGAAATTCTCTGTTAGAACAAGCTCGATCGGTAACAACTGAGACAGGCGAGAAACTTGAATTTCTCCACGCTGTTTTTCTGATTGACTATCGGCCGCTCGCCGCACTTGAACTGCAGTTGATGCAGGAATCGGTGGGAGAGCTACGATATATGCAGAACTATGCCACAAAGTCCGATACATGCGTTTTCGATGAAAAAAACCCGAAACATGCATTTTATGCATTATATGCATTTTGCATGAAGTCTCGGTCTCTAATTATCAGAAGTGTTGAACCCTTGTAGTTGAGTCAGGACGGACCCCGAAGACAGAATGGAATCTCAATCCAACCCTTACCCATTTTTATCGAGATTAGGAATGAATAATTTCAAGTTCAAAACATTATTCAGTCGTTTCAAGCAGAAAAACACCGGATAAATCTGACGTTTTCATGGCGGACGGTAGTGTCGAATACACTACCTGCCACTGTTTTTTTTTCAAGAGTTCGTCGATGAGTGCATCCAATTCCAACTTGAAAACTCTTGCTATCAGATCTGGACGGTTCTCGGCAGTCCGTCCATGATACAAATTTTCTTGGATCTCTTTCCACTTCAGGTTGCATGTCGTGGTTATGAATAGATCCGGTTTGCCAAATCTAGAGACGATAGCCATCGCGTCCTGATAATTTTGCCGCATGTGTCGCGCGGATCCTATGAGGGTCGATGGGAGAACGACGCCACGCCCCGGAGGACCGTCAATGTCTGCCGCCATGAAATCTTGGCGCCCTCTATAAGCGTCGGCGCGGAGTTCAGGCTGATTCATTCTGCAGAAATTCAAGCGGTCCTGTTCAATTCGACGAAGGAATCTACCGCATATTGCTGGAAAAACTTCCCGCCAAGGAGAAGGGGATTGGAAGAGTCCCGGATAGACAGCAGGTATTAATCGGAGCTTCCCAAGTCGCCCCGACCCAACTCGCCGCGGCCGCGACCCAGCTCGCCGCAGGGTCCAACTCGCCGCCGGAGGCGACCATCTTAGAACGACCCATCTTTGGCTCATTCGCCTTGAAACCTGATGGTTGCAGGAGCATAGAAATTCCAGAATTAGCCGGGAAAGCCATGGAGACAGGGTAAAGAAAGATTAGCAATCATCTTATATCAGCGATCGTCTCAATATTTATGCAGACCACATAATGACACCTTCCTGGCCCTCTGACTCGTCTTAATCGCCGATTAGGTGGGGCTCCTCATGACGAGTCATGGACCACTCTGATTGCTCAAGGTTTATGACCGAACGGCGATCCCCGTAGCATTCTGGGCTCCCGGTTTGATGCGGTCGACATTGGCTCCCGGGTTGGTAGTGAGATCGAATCCGCGGGTTACGACGTTCATCCGATCAAGAGAGGAGCTGGTGGCAAGAACTCCTTTCGAGCAATCAAAACAAGAAGGTAAAATTCAAGCTGGATACCGGAGCTTCGAATAGCGTCATACCGTGGCGAGTATTCAAGAAACTCCGCCTGGGCGATGTGCTCACTGCTACATCTAAGAAAATGCTGTCATACTCGGAGCATGAAATCCCGGTCGCGGGTTTCTGTGAGCTTCAAACAAAAGTGCCCGGATGCTCGAGCCAACATCGGGTGCGATTCTATGTAGTGCACACGAATGCCCCTCCCGTCCTGGGTCTGCGAGACTCGAAAGAGCTCAGTCTCATCGAGCGAACATCGCCAGGCACCGCGATGATTCACAAAATCAACACGGAATCAATCATCGATAAGTCGAAGGATGTTTTCAGCAAGCCTATCGGAACTCTCCCGGGAGCTCAACAAATTCGGCTGAAAGTGCCGAACCCAGCACAAAAGGCATTCCCACCAAGACGAGTACCTCTCCGCTTCCAGAATGCAATATAGCGAAAGCTAGACGAGATGACGACTGCCGGACTGATCCGATGGGTCCTCAAGCCGTCCTAATACGCGAACCCGTTGGTTGTGGTCTGCGAAGGGGTCTAGGTAATCTTACATCACAACAAAGGCCGGCGGCCTTTTTTCTTGAGGGAGAGGGTGAAAACAGCCGGGATTCTACCCGTTGAATCAACGGCGCATGTCTAGGTAACCTTACATCACAACAGAGGCCGGCAGCAGTTTTTCCGAGGGAGAGGGCGGAAATAGCCAGGATTCTACTAACTGAATCGAAGAGTCAATAGAGGAATCGGAAAATTGGATTGATTTTCGAACTTTGATTTCTTCGGCCTATATATGACGACTACGGAATTCCCTTTTGCAAATGACGTGGAATCTGTTCAGCTACACGGTGGAGACTAGGTATACAGTCAGGCGCGTCCGCAGAGGGGGGGGGGGCTAGGGGGCTATAGCCCCCTCCCAGATTGAGGGTTCGTAATGCTAAGATATAGGAGCGTGTCGCCATTTTGGAAATCAGCCCCATG